TAATATTAAATGTTCATTAAATGTATCTGACACTTTGAAACAGCAGGTGTGTGAGCTCCAAATGTTTATACGTGCTCACACTTTTATTCGATCCTGAAGTATAAATGGCTGTAAAGCACTTTAAAACTGACTTGTGTATGAATTGTGCAAAGTGCATAAATTTGCCTTTACCCTATTTTTTACAAGCCACCTGTAAACTATTTAGTTGATAAGCTTTTAAAGTTTAACTGATGCAATCAGTTGGATCAGCTGCCATTTTGTTGGTCTTGTGAAACTACAAAAACATGGTCTTCTTGGGGTCACAGAGCGGCGTTACAGAATGATGATTCTCTATAGGCAGTTTTGCACGTGTGGGGACAAATACAGTAATAGACTGGTAGATACATTTACCAGTTACTCTGCATTACTATCGTAAAAGTGTAGTTATCTTGATTGATGGACAATACCCATGTCCATGTCTATTTGCCTTTAAGAAACCTTGGCACCAAGTTAGATATTTTTCAGAAAGAAGAACCAAAGTCAAAATTACAACTGGGATGTTGATATGAACAGTATTTTCAACTCTAATATGACGTGAACATGGCATATATCTACCACCAACCCCCCTTCTTTCCCTCCCTTTTCCTTTTTGGCAGATGAAAATATCTCCAGCTCATCTATGTTTGAACTTGTCTAGGAGGTGACAATCAGGTTTAATTGCACTCTGCACATCACTACCCTACTCACCTTGCTCTCCTCTGTCATACCTGTCATGCATACACTCTCAAACACGCATGTCACGAATGCACACGCTGTTTGACAGGTGACTTTTCAGTCAGGTTAGGTTTATATGGAGAGTGTGTTGTTATACCAGTCAGGCTCTCCCACTACACACACCACAACTCTCTCCCTGTCAGACTAACACAGGATCAAGCAGCTAAGCCAGACATAGTAAGAATGCGATGGCATGTTAAGAAAAGAAGAGGAAAGCCTGTGTGTGGGTTTGGTTGTAGTCGCAATTCAGGTGCAGGTCAGTAATAATAAGTACTCTCCTAACTAAAAACATTTACTTCCATTCTTGTTTGAAATCTATTGTCTTTTAAAAATTGCATAATCTCCTAACAAAAGTTGTATTTAGGCACGCAGAAATAGGGTGGGGGGTGGGGGCTGTCAATCATAAACGTATCTCACATAACAGCAGAGTCACACACTTGCTGTGTAGCCCGCCACTCAGAACATCCTCATTAACTCCCACACGCATGGCATTGTTCCCCTTTTTCTCTCTACCTCCTTTGCCTTTTCATCTGTTCATTATCACCTGTGTGATTGATGATGTACAATTGCAGCAAAGTACTGGCAAATTGCAGGTGTAAGTGTTTAGGGATCAACAGTGAGAAAAAAAGAGGAGAGTGAAAGAGAGTGATTAAAAAAGTAAATTAGTTTGTAAACAGGTGAAGAAGGTAGAAGACTGAATTATAATAAGATATTCCTTTTAATTGAAACTAAATATTGCAAAATTAAACAGTGAGATAACACAAAGAGAGATCCAGCAAATGATAAAAGTATCTAAGATGGCAGATTAATACAAAAAGAGAGAGAGTTAAAGAAAGGCGCAGAAAGACAGAAAGAAAGACACACACATGGAGTCCTGCCGAGTGCCTGAGCATTTGTCTGTGGTACATCAGGTGAAATGCCATGTCGGGCAAGAAAATCTAGAAACTCACTTGCCCAATAGGGAAAGTGGTAAAAAAGAATTAAACACATCATTTTGGTGCTTTAGAAACAACATTTAGTTATATTTAAAACATTCAGTTGTAATCCTGTTCTGAATTTATTATTTAAAAAAAAAAATCAATACAATCAATCATAAAATCAACAATACCCAGCTCTACTGCTGAGAAAATGGCAGCAGGTAAAGACAAAGTTTATGATTATTTATCACTCAAGTTAACAAGTCCATCTCTGGAGAAAAGGAAGCAAAAATGTGGGTTGCTTCACGTCAATGACACACTGTGTCCTTGTTCTGATTCATTTACATTATTATTTATAAACATTAAACATGACAATTAACTTTAGCCCTTAGACACGAGGCACCCAGGGTGCACTGGCAGCACACAAAACACAGCAAAAATCCCGCTCTGTCTGCTGTCAGTCCATGCTGGCCTCTCACACATCACTGTGCTGGGCATCATTATCTCTGTCTGAACTTTGACCTCCTGACCCACGCTTGGCCCAGAGGATACAGAGCACAACTGTGCACAGCAAGTGTTTGTTTGCATGTGTTTTTGACTCAGTGAAGAGGCAGTGTATGAGAGATATAATCAGCTTACATTAGACCAGATAGTGAATTAGCTAACCAGTCGCAATACACACAACATCATATAACCTGAAACCCAGCAAACCATATGAGCATACAGGCGTGAGCCTAAACACACACACAAACATTAAAGCAGAATATCCACTTTGATATATATATTCTCTAATTTCTTGTTATACATTGGCAACATAAAGTATTTATACAAATACTTTGTAGGGAGCAGTAAATCAAGATTTTGGACACTTATGAATCATCATCATTCTGAGTTATGTAAGTCTATAAAATCCATTGCGGGATTGTTAGCTACAGCTGTCAGTGATGCCAAATGAATATGTGTCCAAAACCTCAACTTACTGCTCACTATCGAGCATCTATCATATAGGAAGTAGTGAATAAGTGAAGGTCAACCACAATCTTTTTTTCCATTTCGGAATTTACTATATGGATCATAAATTTCAGATTTAAAAAACTATACAGGGTTCATAGAGTGAACTATTAACTAAACAGGAAGTGATTTAGGACATAATCTCCACCAGCATACTCTCCTGCCCCTCTTTCCCCTAATTAGCTCTCCTAGCTTATATACCAACCGCCTTACCTCAGATCTCTGCAAGGGTTTTTACTGACCAAATTGATCAAACCCTGTCAAAATAAAATGTGATACTTAATAACTTAATAATTATACCGACCATGATGAATAGTAAAAATCCAAATCACTTAAGCAATAACCCTCACATACGTGTATGCCTAGTATCTATCTTTTTAACCTCGGAAGTTATGACCACCTAAGGGTTATACAAGAACAGAAAATATACAGAATAATGTAAATACAAAGTCTTTGTCCAAGCCTACAGGTGTTTTCAGTTATTGTGGTTGATTAGCCCTCTGTTAATGTTGAAGGTGGCTGGAGCTTTGCTATGAGACAGTCGACAGTCTACCGTCTTCATGAGGTCACCAAAGTCGGTGCACCAATAAAATTTTGAATTTTAAAATGACAAATGTGTAAGCTGTCCTGTCCTAACAGGTCCAAGAAAGAGTGAGAGAAATGTCAATAAGGTGCAGTCTATACACAACCACAGAGACCTTAATAGGACAAATCAGGCAAAGTCAGTGAAAACAACCATGAGGGTGTGTTGATCGTGTATAGAGCAGTTACCTGAATGCTTTCCAATTGAGCTAACAAGACAGCCTTTTACTTGTGTGTGGGTATGTGTAAAAAAAATAAAATGCATTAATGAGCAACCCTTTTATTCTGATTGTCCACAACACTCATTAATAGCAACCTTTTGTGAACAAAGCTGCAGGTGTGCGTGCAAGGTTGCGTACACTCTTGTGACGAGGGCTTCAGAATGGTGTCATTGTTTTGTATTTCAACAGGACAGTCCTCAGATTTGTTGGGCTATTCGTAGCATTCACATGTCATGCAAGAATTTCATACATATTTCCCAGAAACCTCGCTTAGCCTTTGATGGCTGTTTGATTACAGACACCTGCTATTTGATTACCAACACTATAAAGCTGATGTAAGTGACACAACAGGAATCTTGACCGCCTGTGTGCAAGTGTGGTGTGTGTATACAACATATGTCATTTAACGTGGGTAGCTGCACACAAACACAGCATACTGACAATCTATTATAAAATGACGTAAATTATGTATTATACAGTATATCATACAAATGATCTGATTCTGATAAATGATAAAACATGCGTCCCATGCTTGCCAACCCTTGCCCCTCACCCCGCTGTTCTCCTGGAGTCCAATAATGCCCTCCAAAAAAATCTTTCTGCTGTTTTAAAAGAGAGAGAGGGAAATATGCTTCTGCTGTGAACAGCCAGGCTACTGCATGCGTGAGAATTGACATCCTGTCTGAACCCAGCATACTAAGGGAGACTCTATGTGCATGCTTTTTAGCAGCATAGGATAACTAAAACCTTGGGTAGCATTCCTTGTTGATTAGGATGCCAGATGCTTTTGTGGAGCTGCTTGAAGCCTCCATAATACACATTTAATGTTAAATAAAGCCTCAAGTCATAAGTCATTAGAGGAATCGTTAAAAAAAATGTTATACGGTCAGGTCAAACACGCTAAAATAAGCATTGAAAATTTCCGCAGATCTATATTCTCTTTTGATATTTTATGAAAGTAACAGGGTTTATCTTTTGTCCACCAAACACCTCCACACATCCTGTTACTAAAGCAAAGTCTGCCCCCTCATGCATCATTTCTGGACACCAATCCAAAGTGGACGGCAACACTGACGTCTCCTTTTGTTCTGTCTTTTTGCTAACTGTACACAAGAAAGACATTTTTCGATTCTATGACAAAATGAGGAGGATGTGTCGAACAGTGTGTTCACAAACACATTATTTCCTCCGAGTGTTGTTGAGCAAAACAATTCCCGCCAGTGAACAAACCTAATAATGTTTTACAGAAATTAAATTGAGTCACATACTGTATCTATTTTCAGTTTTCCAAGTACTGGATGATGGAGGCGTTGAAGATGACAGTGGAATATATAATTATACAGCAAGGTTTGTGTCCGAGATAGTGGGATACATGTCTGATTTGTCTGAGAGGGTGTTTGTCTGTTTTTGTGTGTTAACAGCGTGAGTCACAGGATAATTGCCCACATGAAGCTTGGCATTAGAGATCGTTTCACACCAGGGACGGGAAGCACAGACAAACACATGCAAACCTCACCTCTCTTCCAGCTGTTGGAGGTATTTTCTCAGCTCAGCTACAATTTTATTGGCCTTTTGAAGTGCGTCACTCAGAGCTGTCTCTCTCTCCTCGGTCCTTCTCTCCAGTTCATCTCTCTGCTTCCTCAGTCTCTCTGCCTCTAAGTCTCCCAGCTCTCTCCTAAGTTGTCTCTCTGTTTCATCATGGATTTTTTGATACTCCTCCTTCATATCTCTTCTCTTTCTCTCATTCTTTTGTTCAAACTCCTCTCTCAGAGCTCTCTCCGTGTCTTTGTTTCTCTCTTCTAGCTCTTCTCGCATGAGTTTCTCTCTCTCCAGTGCCTGCCTCTGCACCTCTAGGTGAAGTGCCCTCTCCCACTCCAGCCTGCCCAGCTCCAGTGCCTCTCGCTGGGCCTTCTCTCGCTGGGCGGTCTCTCTCAGCTCCTGGAGCTCAGCCTCGAACTGAGCCAGTCGGGTGTGGAGCTGATGGAACTCGTGGAAAATGAGGTAGCTTACGCCACAGTAACGGCACACCGTCTCACTACGCTCCATCTGCAGGTAAAATACACACAATTTGAATTAATTTAGAATAACAGTAAGTACAACTATTTATAAAACATATTAAGTGTCGTCAAATAGGTGGCTTAATAATTCTGGCAAGTAACATTCATCCACATCTCTGTCTTTGATGAAGAATTTAAAGCCAATGAAAACTTTCAGATCACATCTTTAGGTATTATTTATTAAGGGTTTAACACCCAAAAACTCAGAAATCACCATGATTGTGTGGGTGTAGTTAGATCAGATTTGACAGTAGCATCACCTTTTTTCAACTGATTCCAGCCCACTTTAAACCCCCTATTAATTTCTCATATTAAAGGATAATTGAGAAAATATGTCGTCCAGCCAATTGTACCAATTTGATTATTTCCACAGCATTAAACAAAAGAGCAGTGACAGGCTTCACCCTTTTAAAAATGAGGTGTTTTCTACTTTATTTTGGCCAGTCATTTGCACTTTGAGTCAAATTTCTCATATGTGTACACATACCTGGCAATAAAGCTGATTCTTATTCTGATTCTAATTCTGATTTAAAATGAATGGCTGGCCAAAATAAAGTAGAAAACACCTCGTGTTTAGGTTTAGTTTAGTTATTTAGATAGATAGATAGATAGATAGATAGATAGATAGATAGATAGATAGATAGATAGATAGATAGATAGATAGATAGATAGATAGATAGATAGATAGATAGATAGATAGATAGACACCGGTGCTCGTCAAGCTATGACATGCCAAAATATCGGCTGTGAGAAAGGTCTGTTACATCCTTGTTTTGACAAATTCAAGGATATTGCTAAGAAATTGTCAATTAAATAAATTACATATAAACCACAAATAGTGACACGTATCTTGCTCAAAGGTAAAGACACAGTGACACAAGTACACAAGTATTTTAATTAGTACTTAATGCTATCTATATAAGCAAATGGTACGAAACCTGTGTTTGCATGACTACCTGTAAGTGTGTTAATTATTATATAAATCAATGTATAAATAAATATAATATAGTAGCAACTGTATTTTGTTTTTTATCAGAGCATGAATCTGAGGATGAGTCTAGAAATAACATTCAGTTTTGTGTGGTTTATTGTATGGGGCCTTTACAACTGATGTATCAAAGCTGTCTATAAAAACATTTAGACTGACGACTATGGGCCTCATTATTGATCAAAATATGTTGCAACTGCTGATGTCAAAAACATCTTTTTATCTGTCAGCAGTTGAAAGCAGAAGAACACATACTCTAATCCCTCCTTCAGATATTGTTTTTGCTGCTGTCTGCTATAAAAAAAACATCTCCCAAAATTATCTTTCTGTCTCTGTGCGTGTCAGTGAATCCTCTCCAAGATGTTGTCACTTCTTTCAGGCTTATAAGGAATAAGATCACATCCCCCGAGCTTTCATCTTTGTGATGATATGTGGCAGAGAAGCAGCTGAAATTTGGATGACATGTTGACAGCTCCCATGTCAGAAAGCTCCAAATAGACTGCTACATGATGTAAACAAGGTGAAAGAAACCTGCAAACAAAGCTGACATGCTTGGGAAGACAACAGGGATAAGAACGGATGGTTTAATTACTGCTGTCAAGGCACAGAGGTCATATGTTCCCCCTTTGTCCATTTGGCTATCCACTTCTTTGAGTGTGACTGAAATATTTTAAAATGAATGGCAGAAGTGGCATAAATTTTGGACTAGACTTTTTAAAGAACCTCTCTTAAAGAGACATTCATGTGGACATTGATGCTTGAAAAATGAATTAACTAGTTTGCTTTGATGACCCCATGACCATTCCCCATGGACTGATGGTGGTGGTGTATGTGGAGTTTTGTTATTGGACTGTACTGTTTAACTCATCCTTTTGCGAGGATTAGAGAGAAGAGCTGAGAGTAGAGGAAACGGAAACAGGTAATATTACACCAAGGTCACTATCGAGTCCACTGCCTCAGGACATTAAGTGTCTATAAAGCTATATATTCATTCGCTTTCTACTAAAATGAAAAGCTGCTGAAAATTAAATTCAGATTATTGTAGGTGTACTTCCATCAGCTCCAGCAGCACCAAAAAATACACTTCTCCAGATGTAACACATGTAAATAAGACTACATTTACATTAAGAGGATAATAACAGCTAAAGACTGCATAATGTATGTATAATGAGATGACATCCACAGTTTGAAAGCTCAACTGTTTGATCTTTTTTTGGTGATCTACAACTACAAACAGGTTAGAACAAATGCTAAGAGCCTAAACACGAAAAGACAGCCAAGTTGAAGGACAGAGATCAAAAGAATGGTAGCCACTGCCTGAAAGTCTTTTCCTGAAAGACAAAAAAATGGGTTTGATTGAATAATCGCTGTCCTTGCCTCCCACTGTCTCTTGTTTCCTTCTTCTTTACAGTAAGCTAGAAGTCTAAAGGAATGACAGGGTGGTAGACGAGACAGGCAGACAAGACCCACAGCCTCACTTGAAAGTGCTTTTGACGTGACAAATGATTGACAGGTGACGCATTTAAGAAGATAAAGCTTCTCTCTCTTGCTCTCAGTCGCTCCATCTAACTTTTCTCTCTCTGTTCCCACCTATCACAGTGCCTTCTTGCTCTGTGTTTGTATCTTGCCTTTCCATGTCAGGTCAAGGTGCCGATTATGTCTGCCACACATCTTCAGGACAGCAGGAGTCTGTCTCCTTGCCATGACAGAAAGAAGAACACTTGTCCCTAAAAGAAGAGCACTGCTCTCAAAGGAAGAAGGCTGTGCACACTTAGATCAAATGCAAGCAATTAACAAGACCAACAACAAGATTAACTAATAAGATTAACAAGACTAAGGATCTGCAGTTATGTTAGCAGTAGTGTTTACCATGTTTACCATCTTAGTTTAGCATGCACACATTTGCTTATTAGCACAAGTACAAGGTACTGCTGATGCTGATGGTAATCTCATTAGATTTGCAGGTTTTTGGTCATAAACAAAAGTACTGAACAAACTGACAATTTAACCTGATGGTGGCGCTAGATGAAAGGTCAGGGGATCACCAATGTGATTACAATTATTCCTAAGGGGGACATGGATGTGTGTATTAAACATCAATGTAATCCATTCGATAGTTGTGAAGAAATGTCACTCAAAACCTGATGCCAACCTCATGGTGGTAGAGAAAATAGTAAGGACGCGCTCTACCAGGTGCCCCAAACCATAAACATCTATACAAAATGACAAAAAGTGGCATACTACATTGCCATTTAATGCTGCCCACATGGCTAAAAATGACAATATTGTCCAAGTCTATAGACATTAATAAAGACAATGCTTGATACAATGGATCAAACACTCCACGTGTTGCATGCTTGTGGACATGCAGCACGTACAACAGCACCGCCGCTGAAAAATATTCTACGAGAAACACTGCAATAGATTCCCCTGTGTCGGAAAACTTGCCCTGACGAGGGTCTGGAGACTGACAGAGCACGAAAAAAAAAATGAAAAAAGGGACATTGAAGAAAGAAGGGGAGAGGAGGAAGTGTATTTGCGTGGGTAATAAAAAAGCTCCACAACATGACAATGTATTGCTCTGTGTTGCCACAGAATGTACTCTGGAGAATATGGGCTTTTAAATATTATTTGTTTGCAGTGTGTGTGTGTGAGGGAGAGTGAGAGAGAGAGAGTAAGCGAGAGCCAGAGAGAGTTAGTGCGTGCAAGTGTGAGCAATATTTGGGATTGGGGCTCAGGGGGTTTTAGTGTTTACTGTGCAGATGTCTTCATGGCTCCTAGAGGCATAGATACAGCAAAAACTACTAAGTGCGTGTGTGTGTGTGTGTGTGTGTGTGTAACTGTGTTTGTGAGTGGAGGTTGTACAAAAAATGCTTATGTATGTAAATTTATCTTTGCGTGTGTGTGTGTGTGTCCGTGTGCATGTGGGAGCGTGGGTGTGTTGTCTTTATGCGAGTGATGTAGTCATGAAGACAGAAAACAAGGGGGCAATACACAATGTTAAAGTGACCTGAGGGCTGAATCGTGCCTCAGATACAGCTTGACACACACACATACACACACACACACACACACACACACTCACACAGGCAAGCTTTCTCACACTCATACAAACCTGCACAAACAGTCAAGAGCACATTATGCACCCACGGGGGTAGATGAAAGGCACAGACAAAAACACACACACGCACGCAAAGACACACACACTGACAAACAGACACACACATTAAAACTCACATAGATACAAGCACAAACATGTACGCGGGTAGAGACAAAAGACACAGACATAGACAGACACATACAAAGGCAAATTCAAGCATCTTCAGAGAGACAGAAACTCACACAATTGTTCACTTTTAACACACACACACGCACACATACCCTGAGGGCAGAATGTCTGCGCCACCAGTGGGCTGTGTGCTCCCGTGACTGAGTTTGTCCCTGCGGGGAGACCCCTTGCCCTAGGCACTGACACGTTCACTTAGCACTCAAACCACAAAACTAACTCCTCCACATGCTCACACACCCACACACACACACACACACACACACACACACACACACACACAGGCACATACCTGCTTGCAAAAAATACCTGAGAGCAGGAGGAGGCGAGAAGAGAGAGACACGGATGGCTTGAATGAATCAAGGAAATGATAGAAAATGAGAGACAGAATGAGGGAGAGGAGGAAAGGGGTCCTGATGTCCTTTAAATGTTTCATGCCAGCAGCCAATTGATGCTTCTCTTCTACACACTAAACCTCTTTGTCCTGTAGTGCACACACAACCCTTCTATGGCTCCCCTTGTGTCTCTCTTATCTCTCTTTCATTCTGTCTCTTGATTGACTCCATTAGCATGCTGGACTGCTGCCAAAAGCGGTTTAAAACATTCAGTTTCAAGACACATGCAGCTCTTTCAGTCCCACCGCACTGTTTTAATTCATCTGGTAATGGTTATTCTATTATATATAGAGTTAATAAATATCTAATACAAAACAGCT